GACACCAGACACTATTCTGATTGATAGCTGGACACCGTCTCTGTAAGTAACTTTTAAAAACGATGATCAGGTATTTCATTTTGCAACTGATGAGCCAGAGATATCTACTAGCTAGCCCAGTGGTGGAGGAGTTGACTGAGCAGGGACGAAGATGAAAAGGGCCAGAACTGAGGAGAAATGTTTAAGCAGAATGCACAATTTGAAAGTCAATATATGCTATTAATTATCAGTAGTCCTGATTATGTCAGAGTGCTAGATCCAACTATCTAACCAACCTCTTCACTTAAATTACCTAGCATGAATCTCAAACTTGTTCAAATGAAAACTCAGATTCCCTCCTAGCCCAAAACACATATCCTTGCTTATGTCAGTAAATGGCACCAGTATTTCACCTTGTGGCTCAGATCAAAACCCTAGGAACCTTCTGGATTCCTCTTTTACCTTCACGTTGAAATGTAATCCATCAACACGTTCTTTCATTTAGACTCTTTAGGTGATAGAGTATCTGACCACTCTGATCTACTTTTCCACACTCTGATTTAAGGCATACTCATCTCTTGCAGGGCCTCCTTTAGCAGCACCTTAACAAACCAGGGATGATATTGTGAGGAATGAGAATTCCCCAACGTTTTATTGTGCTATGTAAAACCTGTATATAGATGCACCAAGAGGAAGCATTTAAAATCTGGAAAGGTGTGCATCATAATAATCCAAGCAGCTGGACTACACGTTGAATGCAGTATCAGAATTGGAAGAAGGCTCTTTAGCAAGCTGCATTATGCAGGTGACACAACATTGCTTGCTCAAAGTGAGAAGGTTCTGAAGCATTTGTCAATAAGGATAAAGACTACAGCTTTCAAAATAGATTATAATTCCATATAAAGAAAGACAAAATACTTACAACTGGACCAACAGGCAACATCATGATACATGGAGAAAAGATGTTGCCAAGGATTTGATTTTACTTGGATCCACAATCAAGCCATGGAAGCAGAAGTCAAGATATCAGGAAAATCTGCTGCACAATGTGTTAAAAAGCAAAGATGTCCCTTTGAAGACTAAAGATATGCCTGACTCAAGCTATCTATATTTAAAATGGTCTCATACAAGGAGGTATGGTAGGCCTCCCCCCACCCCCCAAAAAAAGACAACCCCAAACCAAACCAAAACAGAAAAAGCCTCTGCTGGGCGGAGCTTTCACAGTAAGTATTTTTCCCACAAGGCAAGTATGAAGCAACTCGCTCTGAGTTATTACACCCAGTGGCATCACCTGGAATGGTTCTCTCTGGTCACAGTGAATTTCATGAAAGCAGTTTTGCTCGTTTTTTTGTGATGACTGATTTAGGCTGTGAAATTTTGTTTCCTGATGGGGAAAAATAACACAGAAACGTGGTTTCCTCATTTCAAAAAAGGTGAAATGTCAATTGACGACAAACCTTGTCTGGATGTCCATCAACTTCCAAAATGGACGAAAATGTCGACAGTACATTTGGAGTTTGTTCCACCAGGTCAGACTGTTAATCAAGGTTTCTATTTAGAGGTTCTGAAAAGATTGCATTAATAGGATGCGACAAAAAGGCCTGATTTGTGGCAGACAGGGGAATGCTTTTGCCACAACATACCTACTCACGCACCAGTTCTGGGCAAAACAGCATGCCTCTCTTGCCTCATACACCTTACTCACCTGACTTCACTCCATGCAACCTTTTATTAAGAGGGACATGAAAGGACAGTGATTTGAGGCTATAGAAAAAGTGAAAAACAAAAAGAAAAAGGAGGGAGGTGCTGTCAGCCATCCGAACATGAGTTTGAAAAATGTTTCCAAGAATGGAATCGCAGATTTGACAAATGTATTAAGCGTAACGGAGAGTACTTTGAAGGTGATAAGGTTCTTTTGTAAAAAAAAATTATGTACATAGCTTTGGGGGAGGGGATTCCATTTTGGGGGGCACCCCCTCGTATGTATGTGAAAGCTGAACAATGAATAAGGAAAACAGAAGAACTGATGCGTATAGTGTTAGCAAAGAATACTGAATACCACAGACTACCTGATGAAGAACAAATCTGACTTGGAGCCAGAATGCTCTAAGGAACGAAGACGGTGAGGCTGAGGAAGTTTAGCTATACTACTGGGACAGACCAATCCCTGGAAAAGACCCAGACAAAGTAGAGGGTCAGCGAAGACTGAACAATAATGAGCTCAAACAACAAAAGTTGTGTGTTTCATTTGGTTATACAGCACCTAACAATGACTATATGTCTTATTTCATGTCTGGGCCTACTAAAACCTATTTTTTATAAAGCAGCCAAGCTGATCATTTGAAATGATCAATCTTATCATATCTGAGTGTCAAAGTAGAAACTGAGTACATACTCACTGAATACTTGTTGAATATCATTCCCAAGGTTTAGAATTTATAAATTTCTTATGAAGAGCAATAGAGTAAATAAACTCATGTTTGTGGACCAAATGGTCTATGTTGCAATAGTCTACCAATATGAAACAAAAACAGCTACAGAAAAAACAAATGAGTGTGGCTGTGTCCCACTCAATTTATAAAAACAGGATTCAGGTTAGTTGACTGACCCTCTGGCTTTAAAGTTGAAATCTTTGTCTACCCTTCCGATAACTCTTAAGAATCACCATTAGAGTAAAATTTAAACTCCTTACCCTGGCCTAAAAGGTTCTAGAAGCTATCTGACTCATACCTCTCTTCTAATCTCCTATTACTTTCTAATTCACTCTTTTTGCATTTTCTCAAATGTACTCAGTGTTTTAGTTCCTAGAGCCCTTGTAATTTGCTGTTTCCTTGGACTTGAATGGTCTTCAACTAGAATTTTGTATAGTTTTAATGTTATCACCTCCAAAACCATCTCTTCAGAAAAGCTTTGTTGATCATCCACTTTCTCTAAGTCTCATGATTCTTGGTCCCTTCCACAGCATTTTTCACAACACAAAAGTATGTTTGTAGAAAGTAGGATGAAAGATAATAGAATTCTTCCAAAAATTTTTTGAAGCCCCCTATAAAATTTACTTAATTTGCTTGCTTATTTCATCTCCTCACAACCATTTATTTCCTTGAGAAAGATTATGCTTATCTTGTACCTTGATCTCCAGGGGATAGGCTAAGCCTAGTAGACAGCGGATTATTGATAAGTTTTTGTGTCATAAATAAAATGAAAATGTTTTAGAAATTATGTTATTCAAATAATAGCAGTTGTCATAGATAGTCCCTCACTCACCAGGATTCCAGTTATGATGAACCACACTTAGTACCAGGTTTTTGTTTTTTTACTACATGCAATGTTGTAGTCTGTTACCATTCTCAGAAGGTTTAATCACGGATGTTTATATGTAATGTTTGAAAGACAAAGACTAGTTATAAAGACACTGCTAGTAAAAAGGAATAACATTTCTTTAAAAAGGTAACAATAAAAACTTTTTTAAAACGTAAGAACAGGTGTGTGACTGTCACAATGGAGTCACTGGACAGGACCTCCATCACAAGTTGGAGACTACCCCTATTCTTACAGAGGGAAAAGGATGAATGGTAAAAACAAATTAAGAAAGTGTGGTAGGAATCTCACTGACTCAGAGTGCCCTGGGTTAGAATTCTTGGGGGAGTGTGCAAACACTTAAGAGTCTCAGCTTTCCTCTTTCTACCTGGGAGAATATTCGGGGTTTTGACAAGGTAATACATGT